ATAAAGGGTTTTGAAAGCAGACTTGAGCAGGCAAAATAAAGAATCAGCAAACTAGGGGCCAGGCACGGTGGCTCACGCCTGTAATCTCAGCACTTTGGGAGGCTGAAGTGGGCTGATCACAATGTCAAGAGATCGAGACGATTCTGGCCAACATGGTGAAATCCCATCACTACTAACAATACAAACATTAGCTGGGCATAGTGGCACACACCTGTAGTCCCAGCTACTTGGGAGGCTGAGGCAGGAGAATCGCTTGAACCTTGGAGGCTGAGGTTTCAGTGAGCTGAGATCACACCACTGCACTCCAGACTGGTGACAGAGCAAGACTCCGTCTCAAAAAAAAAAACTGGGGATATTCAGTCTTTCTATATTTATTTATGTATTAGAAATAGAGCCTGGCTGTGTTACACAGGCTGGGCTGCAGTGGCATGATCATAGCGCATCGTAACCTTGAACTCCTAGGCTCAAAGGATCCTCTCATCTCAGCCTCCTGATTAGCTAAGACTGAAGGGACATGGCACTTTGCCTGGCTAATATTTTATTATTTAATTATTATTATTATTATTATTGCAGAAATAGGATCTCACTATGTTGTCATGGCTGGTCTCAAACTCCTGGTCTCAAGTCATCCTCCCAGCTCAGCTCTCACAGTGCGATTAGAGGTGTGAGCCATGAAGGCTGGGTCCTTTCATAGTCAATGTAATTGTTGAAATGACTAGGTTTAAGTGTACCCTGTTGCTATTTGTTTTCTGTCTGCTTCTCTTTATTTTTTTCTTTATTCTGTCTCTGTGTGATTAATTTTTAGTCTTCTGTTTTCTCTCTTCTGCTGGCTTTTTTTATTTTAGTGACTCAAACTTTTATTATTAGGTCAGAACGAATGAAGCAGCAGCAAAAGGGTCTGTCATATGATCTGGCTTTCACTGGTCCTCAGGACAAGGAGGAAACCTAGGCAGGAGATAATCGCTCAGTCCCAGCAGACTCTCAGAATCTCACTTGGACCCGAGAGTGCATCTGCTTGGTGGCATTGTTCTTCATTCCTGTCTTCAGCATCCATTTTGATTTCATCCTTTGGACATACTGCATGTCTGGCTCTCGTGTAAGAGCTGCTTCTGTGCTGCCAGTCCATCCCCGGGTCTGTTCTGCTGAAGTACTCAGCCCACGGCTTTCTAATTTTCAGTAACTGCCGCAGATCTTGACAAGCCAAATTGATGACCCACTCTGGCTCCAGAAGGAAGAATCAATTCCATGGTTTCATCGTCATATTCCAAGTTCTTTTCTGAAGGCAATTCCTCAGCCTCATTAGGATCCTCCCCTTCCTTGTGATCTGGGTAGCTACTCCTAAAATCATAGAAGTTTGCAAATTCCAAAGCAGCATCACCATCTGTGAAGAGCTTGCAGTGGGTTTTGTCATTTATATGCACCTGCACAGCTTCTGTGAAGTAGAAGGTCTTCCCCTTCTGGTTGCACCACAAACATATCTTTCCAACACCAACTTTCTCTCCCAAGTATTTAATCAGTCCCTTAATATCTGAAAGATATTCTATATCAGGAATAAAGAAACTGTGGCCTTTGGCCATATGAGCCACATTTTCATGAGTGAGCTGGAATGATGGGAACAAAATAAGCCGTCCGTAATAGGAATAGCACCAAGGAGTGGGCTTTCCCCGGCCTTTCTCCTCTGCACCCTGCTCCACCGCATCGTCCATTGCTTCAGTATCCTTACATTCCAATTCTTCATCAGAATCAGTATCTTCCCAATCGTCTCCATCCAGGTCCTCTTCCTCCTCCTCACTGTCCTCCTCCTGATGCTTTGCCAACTTCTTCATCTGCTGTTCAAACCACTGGAGCCGGGGCGGTTTCTCGCTTGGGTCTCGGTCGTGGGTTTCACGGCACCAGTACCCAGGGCAACCGCACTCGTGGCCTCCTTTGCAAGCGCTGTGAGCACCTTCTTGGGAGACGTGGATGGCTGGGCCTTGACGGCCTGTTGGATGGTCGCGTTCATGGCATCCTTGTCTACACTGTCCCCGCCCAGTCCTTTCTCCAAGTTGTTTCATTCATCATCTCGACTTTCCGATTCTCGGCCTGCATGGCCTTCTTCTCCAGCTCAACGTGCCGCTGGGACTTGAGGTGGCTCTCCTAGGCCTTGAAAGAGGCAAATTTCTTAGTGCAAACGGTGCAGTCGGGGCCGAGCCCTTGCTCTCCTGCTCCGCGACAGCCCCCTGCGCCCACACTCGCTCCTGGAAGCCCTCGGCGGTCACTGGGGCCAGGCTGGCCACCTTCCGCCGCAGGCTGCAGTGCTGCCTCTCCGCCTTAT